TGAGACTGTATATTCTCTGCGACCGTATCTCAGCTTGCCAGCTTCTTCCTCGTCTTTCCGTCGCACCCAAGACTGCAACTCCACTAAGCATTCTCTGATTGTACCCATTTCAACCCCCAACTTCGTAATCTCTCTCTCAACATTATCCATTTGTAATCCATCCTGTCAAGACCATTACCCAGACGACAGTGCTCTGATACCAATTGATGAAGCTGTCCTGCAAAAACACCAGCAATACCACAGAATATACCACAACACACAACCAGTCACTCACAATCAACAATAAAATGCCCAATTCTATTAATATCTGCACAGAACACTACAACTAGAACAATACTTCCAGTAGCCTTGCTCTACCAGTACTCACTAAGCAAATGTACTAAATAAACACAGAAAGTGCAATAAAAGAAATGGTACTAAGGCTGACTTCGAGGGTCAGTCACCTCCCAGAATACTGACTTCGAGGGTCAGCTGCCTCCCTTCCAAATTAACAATTTTCTACTTGATTCCTCTTTTTCTCTCCTCCCCTTTTTATTCATTCCTGGCACCTTTTGTACTTCTAACCGAATTCCTATTTTTGCTCCTGTCAAGCCATCTGTCCTCTCTAACAAACTCCAACCTTTTTACTTATTCTTCTACTGTTTTACCCTCTTGCCCTTCCTATGGTGTACCAGTCCTCTGGGTTGTTCATCAGAATACAAGAACATGAAGAACACTTCAACAGACATGAGTGCCATGAGAAAAAATGGAGGATTTTGGTTTATATCTTTTGGGATTTGTGTTTATGGTTACTATCTTGCGTTTTCTTGATTATGGATGATAAGTTGTGATGTTCATGGATTGGGCCATGAGGTAGGGAGAGTGATTCGATTGGGTTTGGAGAGATAAAGATGGAGTTTAGAAGAGAGAGAACAAAGAAAACAGGAGGAAGGGGTTGAGATGAAGAAGAGGAGGGTATTTTGATAGAAAATTTCATGATATTTTGCCTTTACTCTCAAAAAAAAAAAAAAGAAAAGAAAAAAAAGAAGGTGTTATTAGTCTTTTACAAAATTCATATATGAGCATTTAACGAATATTGTAATGCTGTAACCAATTTGAGGGGATTTTGATGCATTTCAGGAACAACTGAGTGCAAGTTGTTTAAAATGACTGTCCGAAACTATTGGATGGGTTTTTGATTTTTTCTTATTTTGGTATTACTTGTAATATAATATATCAAAGAAAAATACTATCTTTAACATCAGTAAAAAGAAAAAAATAATAAAAAAAAAAAATCATGAAAATCAAAGGTGAAGATTGTCTTTGTATACCCCTTTTGTATATGTCTTTATAAAATTAGCATTGCTCTATATCCAATTACAAATCTTCTTCATCAGTTAAACTACCTATTTTGTTCTAAAAATGATTTAAATAACATGAAAAAAAAAAAAATAGTGAGGTGTCAAAAAGTAGTTATTAAGAACATGAAATCAAAGTTAATTTTAGTAATTTAATATAAAAAAAAAGGGTTTCTTTAGCCAACATTAGTGAGGTGTCAGTACATCCACTCTAAAATGTAGCCATGAACTTAGAACGTGGCTAGTTAACTACCCACAGTTAAGGCCATATAAATTCTCCAGCGTAAGCCAGGCTCAGACTATTTTCAACCCATGCACCAATTTGGAGTAAGTTTTATACTAAATTAGTGTAAATTTTGGTATAAAATACTATTTCATCTCCAATCTATTATATCAAATATTATACAAAAAAGAATATTTTTTAGAATATTTTTTTTATTGTAATAATCAATAATTAATCTATTTCACTCATTATTTTTATGTATATTAATTAAATATTGAGAATGTTTTTAAATTAGTGTTAATTTTTATTTTGAGTTATTGTAGTTTAATATATGCATTGAATAAAGTTTTATTTTTAATTTTTCATCATTTTTTGAATTATATCATTATTATGAATTTATTATTATAAATAATAATCAAATCAAATTAAATATAAATAATCAAATTTAGTGTGATTTTTGATTTAAAATTTAATACTCAAATTAACTTAACAAAATTAAAAAAAAAAAAAAATATATATATATTCTAATGGCGCTACAGTGCTACGCCATTGGTGGCGCTTGGCGCATGGTTGGAACAATAACCCACGCCATTTGGGCTTTTTTTACACCAAAATAATAATCATAGGGAATATTCTTTCAGTTTAAGCACTTTCTGAGATTTCCTCTTTGTTTTTTTAGCCAAAGTAAAACACCAAACATGAATACCAACCTAGCAAACAACCCATTTTCAAATAAAGCAACACAAATTAATCCTACCAACAACCTATTTTTTTAGACCAAATCAATAGATCCATTCATTTTCAAACAAGAAACAGGAAAAAATGAAACCCATGACCACCACAACGTGGTACCCAAGCCAACGTGTCAAGCCTGCCTAGTGCAGGCAAAAAGTTCCTTCAAAATAATAAACAAAAACAATCACATATAAAATAAAAAATAAAAAAAATTTGAAACCCATTACCAACACCTTACCTGAGGTTTAATTGGTGACAGGAGTAACTAACTCTGACAATCGACAGGGGTTTCATAGTTATATCCGAACCAGAGGTGTTTCATTTTATTAGAGTATAATATTCTCTTTACCATAATGTAGAAGAACTTTACAAATCCAAGTGCGGAGAATCAAGCAATGATGGAAAGGTAAGTAAAACGTGAGATGACTGTGATTTGTCCCATTTTATGCCTAAAAAATTAGGACTGATATTAGTCTACCAATCAGAGTTTAAAAAGACTTTACACTGTCTTAGAGCTGTTATATAACTCATATCGTTTCATGACAGAAATAATATGGCTGTCACTAATTTGACAGATTTAGGTTTTGCCTATGAGTGATTGAGAACCGCACACCTGTCCAAGCCCTAAGTAATTTGAGGATATTTTCTAAGTTATTAGCCAATTGGAGGCAGAGAAGGACTTGCAGATTTGTAATCATCACCTTGAATTCTTCTACTAGAAATAGATGACTCTCTCTCTCATTTTTGGGATTCTGATCCTAAACCCCCCATTCTGAATGTAATCTTTATTTTCAAAGTAAAGATAACCTACAAGAAAGAGGCTGACTTGATATTCTCTTTGAATGCTCAATTATTGTACCTCTGTTCACTGTTCGCCATACGTAATCTTTTGTAATCTCTCATATATAAAAGAAACAGTGAACGTAGGGTTCGCTTTAGGCATCCGAACCACTTTAAAAATCATATACCTCATTTAATATTTAGTCTTTGTATTTGATCATAATCATTTACGTATAATTTCTATGAATAACTTAACAATTTGCATGTCGAAATCATGCATCAACATACCACAACAACAGGTCAAGGCCTGGTAGATTAAACCAAAGGTCAACACCAATTGGAGAAATTCAACGAACCATGTATCTACCTCTGAGTACATCTCGAGAACATACCTTGATCCAACTCAAGAATAAAGAATTCATAAAATGGTCAAAAACATTGAACGACTGTAGAAACAAAACAAATATAAGTTCCATAGTCAGTGAAGACGAGTGCTAGAACTAAATAAGGCAACAGAAGGGAAAAACCTGAGAGAAAATTTCTCTTTGTCAAATGCTAGTTGCATCTCCCTTTTTTATAGTATAAAATATCAATAGTATGCCATATTACATTTACAATAAATCAAGTCAAAAACCGATAAAAACTGCCCAATATTACAATGGATTAATTCTGCACTTTTGAATTCAAGAAATTAGAAACTGTCATTACAATTATATTTCAGTTTCAGAAACCAAAATTACATTAATCAAAATAAAATTCAGTAACTGAAAAGAAATTTGAGTTAAAAAAAAAAAATAAAAACGAAAAGGGCCAAGCCCGCACCCACAAACAAGGCCCAATTGGGTGGATTTGTACGAGTTGTCGCGTGTACGCACCCGGTCAATTGGTTTCCAGGTCAATTTCTTGATTTTGGCTTGGGTTGTGAAGCCTCGTGCGCATGGGAGCCTTCTTTCTTTGGTTCACTCTCCTTTATAAAGAGCCTAGGAAAGAGTTATCTTTCTAATGTGAGATTGGGTACTTTAATTTTTTTAAAAATAGAGATAAGCCGACAAACTTCTCACAAACAATGATGTGGCTAATTGCAATTAGTCAGCTTGTATGTGGGTGGATCGGATTTATTGTTGGGTAAACGAGACTCATTATGAGTTGACCAATCATGAGTTGACATGTCGCGTTTGTAAGAGAAAGTTAATAAAAAAGTTTTGTGAATGTAGTATTACTGTTTTTAAAATATCCTCACAACAACTCTTATAACAAGAACTAGAACATAAAGTTTTATTGGGGGATTGGATGGGAAAGAGAAAGGAAGGTTCCTCTGTGCTGACTTTAATTAACATTTTTTTTATTAAATTCGGATCAAATTCGAATATCCGTTGATTTGATTCGAGAAAATCGGATATCTAAAAAAATGGATTAGCCAAAATCCGAATCAAATTTTATCTTGATCCGAACATTCGGATCGGATTAGAAAACTCTCCAGCTAGATCGAATATCCGGTTTTGCACACCCCTAAAAAAAACATAGGTGGTACTCTTAAACCTACTCATGTATTAGATTATTTATAATAATCACATCTATTCATTTCCAAAACTTATAATATAAAAATGCACAAAATAAACATTGAACCAATACAAAAACATATCAACATTCCTTTCTTCCTCCTGCTATTAAGATCTAATCCTTGGAATTCTATTTTAGTTTTGGGGGTGTTTGACAGAAATCCAAACCTTAGGTGAAGTAAAGGGTAATAGCACTAAATATTAAATGAATGGGACCCTAATTTATCGGGTTTGGATGGGTATGTAAACTCAGTTCTCCAGTTTGCTGCCGACCCTTGACCACCATCAATAACTTGTCATTTCATTTTTGTTTGATAAATCTTCCTCTTTTTGAGCAATTCTCACTTGCCTTAAATCTCTTACTACTTGCATCAATAGCTGTTATATTCAAAAGAAACCTCATGATGCTTGCTAGCTAGCTACAACAACAGCATTCCTTACAGGGCAGTCCATTCATATTGTGCTTCCTTTATTATAAATGTATGATTTTGCAAAATACAAGTAGACTACAAATTCTATAACACTCAGTCCAGCGAGAAGCCAATAGAAGTAATCAAGATGTGCCTTGTTGAGATTATTAGAAAACCAGCTTTCATGGCCATTTCCACCAGTTGCTTTCTCAATGGCAGATATTAGAAAGCTGCTAAGAAAGCTCCCAACACCGAAGATACTGAGTTATAGTGAGAGACCTACACTCCTTAATTCAGATGGGACTTGATCATAGAAAAATTCTTGAAGACCTACCATGGTGAAAGCATCAGCAACACCAAACAAGATATATTGAGGAATCAACCAGCACACACTCATTGGAATTGTCACATTTGGCTTGTCAATCAGTCCATATTCTTCAGCAGTTTTAAGTCTCTTCATCTCAACTAAAGCTGCAATCACCATCGACAAAACAGATAAAAACATACCAGTTCCAATTCTTTGAAGCATTGTAATGCCAGCAGGTTTCCCGGTAAAGGTTCTTGCAATTGGAACAAAAACACGGTCATAGATTGGAATGGTGAGAAAAATGGCAAGGCTGATGAAGGATTGAAGTGAAGCAGCTGGTACGTCAAAGCTTGGTGCAATTGATCTGTCCATTGTAACTCCTTGCTTTGTAAAGAAAGTTGAAGATTGAGCAAACACGATTGCATACATCAAGCTTGTAACCCATATTGGAACAAGCCTGAGAAATGCTTTTGCTTCTTCCACTTCACTGATGCTACACACCTTCCCATATTCCTTTGAACCATCTGGTGCAAGCAAGGCTTTGTTGAGAAACCTGCAAGATTTTTAGTGCGATAAATTGATTGCATAAAATGTTCTAAAACAATGAATTAAAGATTTAGAACCACCAGAAAAGAAGCAAGAGTCGTGGAAACAAATAAAGAACAGAGTACTTCTCCACTAATAAGAGATCCTCTTTATGGTGGCATCAGTAATATATGGGTACAAGTTTCATGGTATTGCATGAGTAAATGTTTCTCTGATGGTAAGCAGAAAATGAAATTTCACCAAACCTAATAGCTTTAATAGAATAGCACCATAAATATATAATTATATATAACATGTCAATGTCATAACAAAACAAAACAAAGTGATTAGTTTTACGTGATAAATTTGATCCTTGAAGAATAAATATTCATTTATTTCAAGTTACTTTGCAGGATAAGTTGATGTTGTGCATGAACAGATCTTATATAAATTTTCAGACATCAAATCTCTTCAGAGAAACTAACTTGATGTCTTGTGTCCTTTATTGCCTTTTAAATCTCGAATGATTTAAATATTTTCCTTACTTGTATTGCTCAGAATTTTGATGTGGCAAGGTTCCACGAGCTTCCTCTTCAAGAGCTATAGCAGAAGGCGTAGTTCGCCAATTCTTAACCGCAGCAACAAAAACATTACCAATTCTCACAAACGGGTTTTTCCCATCACCTTTTATGCTAAATCGATAAGTCTTGGTTCCGAGCAAGAAAATAAACAGGGCAATAGCCATCAATAAACATGGAAGTCCAAATCCAAGAACCCAATTGAGATTGTCTTGGATGTAGTTTAAGATTAAAAGTGTCACCAAGGTTCCCCCACACATTCCAAAATACCACCAATTAAAGAATGAACTTTTCAGCTTGCATTCCTCTGGATCTTGACCATCAAACTGATCCGCACCAAAAGCCTGAACACAAGGCTTGTGCCCTCCCTGCCCAAGCGCTACCAAGTACAAAGAGAAGAAGAATAAAATTACTTGGAACTGATAAGGAGAACATGATGTGATTTTATTTGTGTTTTGGCAATCAGAAGTGTCAGGCAATGGCAACATAGCTGATAAAGTCAACAAGCCCAGTCCCTGTTAAAAATCATACAAATTCAGGTCAGTACAGTGAAAACCGAAATATGAAAGAAATTTGGTAAGAGAATGCACTCAAACTTTTTCTCAGTAAATCAACATAAATATTCATGGCATTTCTCCCACGAAATAAAATATAATATACTTTAGCGTTCAGCTTTCTTATGTCCGGTATTATTCAAAAACTAAATTCTTAACTAGCAAAATGAATTCTCGATGATTTTCCCAAACTTGCAATCAAAGTTTGTCTTCCAACTGGTGCAAATTGATAAAACAAATAAGCTAATAAAAGCCACCATCTACGTATATTGAGCAGATTGTTTTGGAACTAGTAATTAGCGAGATTTATAATTTTTAATATGCCCCGGAAATTAAACCAACATTGCTGGTACATTGACATCATCAGTCTGGCATAAACTAACAAAACCGAAAACCTTGAAAGAGCACAAAACCCAGCAATAACACCTTGCTTTCTAAACGCAAACTAAGTTTGAAAGCACTAGTTTGACAAAACAAAATCATACAAAAGGTGCAAGATTTTAACTATGAAAATCTAAGCTTCACTATTCTACAGAAAAAAAATAAAAGAAGAAGATGATTTGGCTTCCTCTGATCAATTTGGAAACATAATAGCTTTTATCAACCCATGCTTAAGACAAAGACAAAATAAAACTAGAGAAAACAAATTAAAATAAAACTAAAGAAAACAAAGAATTCTCATCTTAAATCAACCAGCTTGACTGTAAAGTAGCACTAGCAGACAAGAAATAAAAAAAAAAAAATACCAGCTTTCTCCACGATGAAACAAATCCCACAATTGAGGAATGAAGAAACTAACCAGAATGTAAGTAAGAGAGGCAACAACAATAGTACGGTAACGTCCAAGAAAAGAATCAGCAACAAATGCTCCTAAAAGAGGCAGAAGCGATGCCGTGCCTGACCAGGCGTTGACGTTCTCTGCGGCCGTGGCAGTGGACTGACCCAATGGCCCAGTCAAGTAGGTAATAAGGTTTGAACCAATCCCATAATAGGCGAATCTCTCAGCCATTTCAACAGCAATAATGAAAGATGCAGATCTCCAGCGGCCAGAAGTGCGTCTGTTGGCTGGTCGGCCTTTGCAGTCGACGGACCCATCAATTCTGTCTTCAAGAAGCGGAGTTGCTGCGTCGGAGAGAGTAGGAACGGCGGCCATCATCTAAGACTAAAATCTAATTGGAGGAATAAAAATGATATCTTTATATCTTGTGTACATGTGGTAACGGTGATGCTGATTCCTTGATTTTGTTTTTTGGTTTTTCTTTGTTTTGTTGTTATTTGGATGTCAGGATTCGCTGGCTTTTTCATGTTTTCAAGTAAAAGATTTTGGTTGTTTGAAGATATTTGTTAGGCCGAACGACTTCTGCATACCTAAAGTTTATCGTAACGATAAGTTGATACCTAAAAGATTTTGAAACGATAAATAGGTACATTCCGTCATATTCTGTTAGTGATTTTTGTTTATTAATAGTGAAAAGACTAAAATGCCTTTCAAAGTTTCAATTTTAGTTTTTTATAAATTTAAAAATTTCTAAAAAACCCCATAGATTTGCTAATTTAATTAAACGCCCCCATATATAAAAAGTTTGTTAAATGACAAAAACATCCCCACCACCCCTAGTGCCAGATTCCGGCCACTATCGCTGGAATCTGGCCGGAAAATTGCATTACGACACAGATCCGTCGAATCTGTGTCGTAACGTGCCGATCTTACCTTTTCCGGTCAGATCCGCCACGAATCTGGCCGGAAAAGGCAAGATCTGGCCGTCGAAGCAACAGCCAGATCTGAAAAGGCCAGATCTACTGCCAGATCTGGCCGTCGACGCCGCAGATGGAGTTTTGCGGCGTCGATGGCCAGATCTAGCCGTAGATCTGGCCTTTTCCGGCCAGATCAGCCACGGATCTGGCCGAAAAAGGCCAGATCGACGCGTTACGACACAGATTCGATGGGTCTGTGTCGTAACACAACTTTTCGGCCAGATTCCGGCGGTGGTGGCCGGAATCTGGCACTTGCGGGTGGGGGGTGTTTTTGTTATTTTACAAAATTTTTATATATTGGGGTATTTAGTTAAATTTGTAAACTTAGGGGGTTTTTTTAAAATTTTTAAATTTATAAAAAACTAAAATTCAAACTTTTAAGGGCATTTTAGTATTTTCACTATTAATAAACAGTAATAAACAGAAATTACTAACAGAACATGACGGAAAGTACCTATTTGTCATTTTAAAACCTTTTGGATATTAACTTGTCGTTAGGATAAACCTTAGGTATGTGTAAGTCGTTCTCCCTATTTGTTATGGCCATCAATTTTGTCTTGGTGTCCGAAAACATTTGATTAAATCAAAACATATAAACTAGTTGATTATATATTGTTATGGACTTAAGACTTATGGGTATTAGGGCTAACATGGTAAAATGTGACGTGAGTCATCCAATCCATTCCATAATAATGGTCCAATAGGAATTAAAGGCCTAAAACAAGCCTAAAGTAGGCCTCACCCGGCTCAAAGCCCAAGAGGGGCTGGGCTGACCTAGGTGGCATAAGACTCCGCAGTGATAGTCCTAGTCCTAGGCCAGGGATGTAATGACCTTGACCCAGGCTGGGCTCACTTGGGCTCGGCCCGGGTTTCTTTTCGAAAATCCAAGCATGTGTTTTAAATTCGGGCTTCAAACCTGATGTAAAGAGGGTTATTTTTTTGAAATTTTACTTTATAAGAGTGACCTCAGTTATATAGGGGGTTATTGGTTATTTAATATTATAAAAGGTAGATGTAATATAAGGGGCAGGGGGTTTAATGTAATTTTACATAGGAAGTTATATGTATTTTCGCAAAACTTCTAAGTTATACCTGGGCCTAAGCTTTCTTGGTAGAACCCAAGCTTGATTTTCCAAGCCTGTCCTAAAGGTGTTATATATGCCAAGACCGGGCCTAACACGGGCTAGGTTTTTCTAACATCCCTATCTTAGGCTGTCAAAATAGTATTATCGAGTTGGCCTTATAAGAACATATTGCTTGTTCCATTTATCAAACTTTTACCACTAATCCTAAACAAAGGGGAGGAAAGAGCTTGACGAATGTAAAACACAGCAAATAAAATTTACTAAAGAGCAAGTTATTAAGTCAATACAAATATGATCATCTCCAAATTCAAAGATCTATCTAGCTTTCACGGTAAAATATCATATTTTCGTTGAAATTTCATTATTATATTTCGATCCCTTAAATTATGCATCAAAATATATATTTTTGAAATGTTTATAATCTAATATATTAATGATGACCTCAATATTTATCTTTCTAAGTATATGAAAAGATATACAAACTTTAAAATTTAAAGTTAATTTCATATATATATTTGATAATTTTTCAAATACTAAAAAAAAAAAAAACCTAATTAACATTATCTTCCCTCTTATAAATGTAAGACTTAGAAGAATGCAAATAGGCAGCTAAACCTAATGCACTAAGTCCAGCAAGTAACCAGTAAAAGTAATCAAGATGTGCCTGATTCAGATTATTAGCAAACCAACTCTCTCTGCCTTCTCCACCTGTAGCTTTATTTATTATCGACACAAGAAAGCTGCTTAAAAAGCTCCCTACTCCAATTATGCTGAAATAAAGAGAGAGACCAAAACTCCTCAAATCTTTGGGCACTTGATCACAGAAAAACTCTTGAAGACCAACTATGGTGAACACATCTGCAAGCCCAAGCAAGAGATATTGAGGAATCAACCACCACACACTCATGGGAATTATGGCATTTGGCTCATCAACTAGTCCATATTCTTTAGCGGTTTCAAGCCTTTTCATTTCGACTAATGCTGCAATTACCATGGAAATGGTTGATAAAAGCATCCCAGTTCCGATTCTTTGAAGCATTGTGATTCCGGAGGGTTTCTGGGTTATTGCTCTTGCTATGGGAACAAACATGCGGTCGTAGATTGGCATGAGGAGGACGATGGAAACACCGATGAAGAATTGAAGCGAAGCTGATGGAATTACGAAGCCTTTGAAAATTGTTCTGTCCATGGTTGCTCCTTGCTTTGTGAAGAAAGTGGTGGACTGAGCAAACACAATGGCATATCCCAAGCTTGTGACCCATATGGGTGCAAGCCTTAATAATGCCTTGGCATCTTCAACATCATTCAGGCTGCACATTTTCCCATCTTCCAACGAATCATCTTTTTCATCTAAAGCTTTGTTGAGGAACCTGGATCAAAGAAGTATTATTTCAAAGGAGATTTTATCTATTAAATTGTCATCCGACCAAGGACTAGTCAGGAATTTTTTCTTACTTGAATTGTGTCTAAAAATATTTAGAAAATTGTATTTAAAAATCCATTTACCATTAATGCTAATAGAGTTATTTCTCTTACTTGAATTGCTGAGAATTGTTTTGTTGAGGGAGGATAGCTCGAGCTTCATGATCTTCACTACCCATCACTAAAGAAGAAGTTTTCCAATTCTTAGCTGCTGCAACGAACACTCGACTGATTCTTCCAAATGGATTTTTCTCATTCCTTTTAACAGTAAATCTATAGGTCTTAGTTCCAACCAAGAAAATAACAAGTGAAGCTACCATTACTGCACAGGGAACTCCAAATCCAAGGATCCAATTAATGTTGTCTTGAATGTAGACTACCACCACGAGAGACAACATGATAGCTATAGATAAACTGAAGTACCACCAATTGAAGAAAGAGCTTTTGGATTTGCTTTCTTCTGAGTTTTTTCCATCGAATTGATCGGCTCCGAATGCCATAAGGCAAGGCTTGTGCCCACCTTGCCCTACAGCAACGAGATATAGGGAGATGAAAAATATGACTGTTTGGGGAGAATATGATTCTGTGGAAAGATTATTTTGGCCATTGAAATTGCTGAGAGATGTTAAGAAAGCCGAAAGCGTCAACAAGCTTAGTCCCTGCAATACATTAAAATTTTGACTAAAACATTCGAACACATTTATGAAACCTACAACTACATTCCCTACTTTGGGGAGCACATGTATTTATTTTTATTAAATTCGTATTAATTTTTTTGAGGAGTAAACAACATGTTCCCACCCAAAATTAGTGAAATGACAATGTTCCACCCTTTGTTTCATTTATTCCAAATTTTCATCCTTAAATTAACAAAAATCGTTTAATATAACAGTCAAGGGTTATTTAGGTCTTTTTATCCAAAAATAATAAATCATATTTGTTAGGGCAAAAAATCGTCTTGAGCTTGACGAGGCCCAATAACGAAATAAACATGTCTCAACCCAAGGCCTTAATCCAATCCTGATTGAGCCTATGCTTAAAATCACCTTGTGAGCTACCCACTCTATGAGTTGGGTTATCCTATAAGTTAAGCAAAACTAGGTCTCAGCCCATTAGCCTGCAACAGTCTATAAATAGAAAATCAGACTCCCATTCTATTTTCTCTTCTACTAAGATTCCAAATCTTACTCAAACTATCAAACTTAATCTGATAAGGTCAAGAAATTATATCTCTTTCATGATAAGGATTACCCCCCAAAATAGGACTTAGTGTCTTACTAAGATTCCAAATCTTATTTAAACTATTAAACTTAATCTGATAAGGTCAAGAACTCGTATCTCTTTCATGATAGGGATTATCTCCCAAAATAGGACTTAGTGTCCTACGAAGATTCCAAATCTTATTTAAACTATTAAACTTAATCTGATAAGGTCAAGAAATGATATTTCTTTCTTGATAGGGATTATCTCCCAAAAAAGAGGACTCAATGTCCTACTAGGATTCCAACCCCTTGGGTTCACTATAAAAACAGAGGCTTGCCCTCTCATTAGGCATGCAATCTCCCATAGTCAATCTACGCTACTCAAAACCATCTATTTGCTCCTAAAGTTCTTACTCCCAAGAACCCGATGCCTCCGCTGTAGTCCTAGCTTCCGACAAGACTCTTGGTAATTCTTCATCTCCTTAATTCATATCAAATAATCTCTTTCAGCCTTGCTGACTTGAGCATCGGAGTGCCTACTGCAAACACACCCCGGTGTTTTTCGGAAGCTTCACGCTTGCCCTTTCATGTGTGCAGGTCTAGCGGATTGTCAATGGCCTCAACCTCACGGGATTAGACTCTATTTTCATGACGGTAGATTTTTTGCATCTACAGTTTGGCGCCCACCGTGGGGCCCTGACAATCATCTGCCAACGATGACTTACAACATGGGAAGCGATACGGAACTCCTTTTGATTGACAATGTTAATTAGAAAATCCCATCATGATAAGAATTTTTTTTTTTCTCTTCGTTTGTTTTATCTATTCACATGCCATATTATATCTATTCGGCATATCGTAATTTATTTTATATTATATCCATTCAGTAGGTAGTATAAGACCTTGAAGCTCATATTATTGTTTTAAATTAATAATAAAATAATAATTTGTCAGAGTTTAAAGTGGTGTTCCTAAACCACTTGATTCATTGACTTTGCTTCAACAATCTCTCTTCTCTAATCCTTTGTTCAGATAAGGCAATAGCTTCTGTCTCTAACCTCTCTACACGCGCTTTTTCACTTCAATCATCAAACCACTAGGTGGTCCGCCACCATCATCAGAGCTTTGCAATTCATTATCCGCCATTAAACCAGTCAATTTGTTCATTCAAGAAGATGCCGCAATACGCCAGCATCTCCAGGACCTCCGCCCCATTAGAAGGTAACTCAAAACTCGACCAACCTTGATCCAATCCCAATTCAACTTCACGGAGATTTGCCACCACTTTGAAAACCAAAACTCGTCTACCTGTTCTCCTAAAATCGCCCTAACAGCTTCTCCAATCCCACAGTTAAATCCTAAAAACACAGCAGTAATCCTCTCAAAACATCCAAAGTCATCTACTAAACACGAAGAGAAACCCCCCAACAAAACCTGCTTAAGTGACGCCACCCAACTCTCGTCTAATCTCCTTATCCCACTGTATTCTAAAACTCCAAACTCGAACCATCGCCCCTTCCTAACCAATACATATCAACTCAAACCACCTTCACATCACAATCTCCAGCATACCTGTCACAAAAGCCCTCATGCTCCCCGCTGTTTGCAAACTTTCCACTCCCCACTACAACTCAAACCACTAAACAACATGAGTAGTCCACTCGATGATATTTGGGTCTGTACATACAATATCAACGTGCCCATTTGGTTCAGCCCAAAAGTGAATCATGTGCCCACTCAACTTCAACTGGTTCAGCTCCGACATACTCGGTCCAGCAAGCATGGGTGGCAGCACTTGAAAGGGAAAGGTATGTGTCATTATCTCCTTTTAACAACCACTCTATTTGGTTAAATCTTTCTCTATTCGGCCATTACTTAAATACATGTAGCCCATTTTTCCATTTAGTTCACTTTTCATTCAGTCCATAACACATCCACATAATGCATATTGACTCTCCATTTGGTTCTTTGCTTAAAACATGCATGCCACTGCTCCAGCTTCAATCAAATGTTTTCAACTACAAAGTCGGTCACGCCGACTGGGCCACATAGCCTTCAAAGGTTTCAACTTTCAACTATAAGTCGGTCACGCCGACTCGACCGCAAGCTCCATACAAGCTCCACTTGGCATACACCTTCGATTGGCTCAAACCGATTCATGAGTTTACACCCTTGATTGGCTTAAACCGATTCATGAGTTTACACCTTCGATCGGCCCAGACCGATTAATGAGTTTACACCTTCGATCGGCTTAGACCGATTCATGAATTTACATCTTCGATCGGCTTAAACTGATTCATGAGTTTATACTTTCGATCGGCCCAGACCGATTTATGAGTTTACACCTTCGATCGGCCCAGACTGATTCATAAGTTTACACCTTTGATCGGCTTATACGGACTCATGAGTTTACACATTTGATCGGCTCAGACCGATTCATGAGTTTACACATTCAATTGGCCCAGACCGATTCATGAGTTTACACCTTCGATCGGTCCAGACCGACTCATGAGTTTACATATTTGATCGGCCTAGACCAATTTATGAGTTTACACATTCGATCGGCCTAGACCAATTCATGAGTTTACACATTCGATCGGCCCAGACCGATTCATGAGTTTACACCTTCGATCAGCCTAGACCGATTCATGAGTTTACACATTCGATCGGCCTAAACCGATTCATGAGTTTACACCTTTGATCGGCTCATACCGATTCACGAGTTTACACCTTCGATCGGCCCAGACCGATTCATCAGTTTACACCTTCGATCGGCTCAGACTGATTCATAAGTTTACAACTTTGATCGGCCCAGACCGACTCATAAGTCTACACTTTCGATCGGCCTAGGCCGATTCATGAGTTTACACTTTCGATCGGCCTAGACCGATTCATGAGTTTACACCTTCGATCGACCTAGGCCGATTCATGAGTTTACACTTTCGATTGGCTTAGACCAATTCATGAGTTTACACCTTCGATCAGCCCATACTGATTCATGAGTTTACAGCTTCGATCGGCTCAGACCGATTCATGAGTTTACACCTTCGATTGGCCCAGACCTATTCATAAGTTTACACCTTCGATCGGCCTAAACTGATTCATAAGTTTACACCTTCGATTGGCCCAGACCGATTCATAAGTATACACCTTCGATTGGCCCAGACCAATTTATGGATTTACACATTCAATCGGCCCAGACCGATTGAAGGACTTGTACCTTAAATCGATAAGTCATCGACCCAATCCACACAAAGATCCATCCGACCTAACGAGCTGCTATCACTAATCTGCTCAGTCTGCATTCATTCGATTAAATCTACTCTCTAAGCTAAATCCTCTTTAACTTAGAGAGTGGGGGGCTAACTGTTAGGGCCAAAAATCGTCTTGGGCTTGACGAGGCACAATAACGAAATAAACATGTCACGGCCCAAGGCCTCAACCCTATCCCGATTGGGCCTATGCTTAAAATCACCTTGTGAACTACCCACTCTATGAGTTGGGATATCCTATAAATTAAGTTAAACTGGGTTTCAGCCCATTAGCCTGCAATAGTCTATAAATAGGAATCAGAATCCCATTCTATTTCCTCTTCTACTAAGATTCCAAATCTTACTCAAACTATCAAACTTAATTTAATAAGGTCAAGAAATCATATCTCTTTCATGATAGGGATTATCTCCCAAAATAGGACTTAGTGTCCTACTAAGATTCCAAATTTTATTTAACCTATTAAACTTAATCTAATAAGGTCAAAAAATTATATCTCTTTCATGATATGGATTATCTCCCAAAATAGGACTTAGTGTCCTACTAAGATTCCAAATCTTATTTAAACTATTAAACTTAATCTGATAAGGTCAAGAAATAATATTTCTTTCTTGATAGAGACTATCTCTCAAAAAAGAGGACTCAATGTCCTACTAGGATTCCAACCCCTTAGGTTCACTATAAAAACATAGGTTTGCCCTCTCATTAGGCATGGAATCTCCCATAGTCAATCTACGCTACTCAAAATCATCTATTTGTTCTTAAAGTTCTTACTCCCAAGAACCCGACACTTTCGCCGTAGTCCTAGCTTCCAACAAGACTCCTGGTAATTCTTCATCTCCTTAATTCTTATCAAATAATCTCTTTCAGCCTTGCTGACTTGAGCGTCGGAGTGCCTACGACAAACACCACCCCGGTGTTTTCAGGAAGCTTCATGTTTGCCCTTTCATATATGCAAGTCTAGCGGATTGTCAGTGGCCTCAACCTCATGGGATCAGACCCTATTTTCGTGACGGTAGATTTTTTGCATCTACAATATCTATATCAAAATTTTGTGCAAACGCAACCCTTCCTCTGTGCCTCCAAATCCACCATCAACACCAATAACTTTAATCCACAGCACGAATACACTTCAAACTCCCAACAAACTGTATTTAATCAACTTCTCCAATCAAATCTCAATCGAAAAAACAAACCTTGTTGCGCAAAGGCACCCGAGATGTGTTCGGCGTAGTTGGACGGTGAGGTTGACTTGGGGGTGCAGGAGGATGGGAGTGGGAGGTGCGGGGTGATAAGGCGCAACGACCTTCTTTGCGCGCGTAAGCATCGCATGAACTGCCGTTTGCGAATGGGTTTTGCTGCGGCAAAGGAAATGTGGTAGGCTGGTTTTGGGTGGGGATGTTGCGGGGGAACTTCAAAAGTCGTCGGCGACAATAGGAGTAGCGAAGGAACTGCGACGGTGCGTCAATGAAGCAGGAGTGGCGAAGGAACTTCAAAATGGTTTGTTCTTCACTTTTGGTTGCTTTGATTTGATTTTTGGAGTTGTTTGGGAGTGATTTTGCAGGAGGTTTTGTTTGGCCATTGATTGAAGTTGATTTGTTGCATTTTGGGAGATTAGATTGTTGAAAAAACGACCATTTTCCACTCACCCACTGGCGCCCACCATTTGTTTGCAAAAAAGCCACAACCAACAGTGTTTGCATGGCGGTAGTGGTAGTGGAGATGAGGAGGGGAAGATGAAGAAGAAGAAGGGAGGGTAATTTGGTAATTGTACCCCTATATATTTAGAGTTCACTGATTGTGTTACTTTAAGGGTGGGGATTTGGAATAAATGAAACTAAGGGTGAAAACTTGCCTGGGTGGGAACATGTCCTTTGCTCTTTTTTTGAGTGATGGTATTGCTCTAACCTTTTATCTTACTAGACCCCTTTTCATCTTTTCTCTCCTTTTTTTTTTTTTTTTTTAAAAATAATTCTAGTTTTATCCTTTTATAAAATGACTAATTTGGACAAATTAAGAATAGCAAGTATAATCAAGATATGCAATTATTAGAATATCCCTAATTTCCACTCCAAATAAAACCTTGTTTTAGATTAATTTTTTTTCAATGCGTACTTCATTATTTTAACTTAAACAAATGTGATTAAGTATTTTCCTTTTCGGTTGAAAGTCATTTGACCGGCAAATTTTTCAAATAATATTGATACAATGACAATTATACCCTCAATACCAACAGTGTCATACAAGTTAATAATAGAAAAACTGGGAAAGTTGATACACCAAGAAAGGACATTTGCGTCTTTACACATTGTCAAAAATGTTTGGGCAGAAAGCCACATTTGAGATCCCGTAAGCCAAGTTTTTTTCTTTTGACAAAGACCAAATATGAATCATATTTAAATCCAATAAAATATAAATAACATTAGGCATTCCTAAAAATATTTTAAAATTCTCATCTCAAGTGATATAAAATCAAAATATAGTAATAATTTAATAAATATTTTAATTTTCGAGATTTGTACCGTTACTCATAAAATAAAATAAAAAAATGTGACCTTACTTTAATACTGTTAAAATAAAAGAAGAAATAAAATAATTGCTCAATGCCTTTCACGCTTATAATTTATACCAAAGAAAATAATTTGTATTTACGTTCACGCAAGAAAGAAACCCCTCTATTCTTCACCAAATCAAACTTTTGTTGACTCATAAATAATTGCGAAGAGTATATTTTTATCAACAACTTCTTCAAATTCTCTTAGCAATTCATAAAAATGTACAGTAAATATCTCCCCAGAGTAGTTGCAGATGCAGGCGAAAGAGAGAGACAAAAGAGAAAGGAGAAACTAACCAAGATGTAGATGAGGGAAGCAAGAAGGATGGTATAATATCTCCCAAGAAAAGAATCAGCTACAGCCCCTCCTAGAAGAGGAATAAGCGTGGCAGTGCCAGACCACAAGTTCACATTCTCAGCAGCCGTCGCCGTGGACTCACCAAGAGGCCCCGTTAAATATGTTATCAGATTTGATAGTACTCCATGATAGGCAAATCTCTCCGCCGCTTCAGTCCCTGAAATAATAATTAATTCTATCTTATCAAACACATGTAATAAATACTGCTTCTTCTTAATCACTCATGAGTAAAGTTATGTTAATTACCTATAATGAAAGAGGCTGATCTCCAGCCGCCGGAGTTGAATCTGGAGACCCGACGGCCTCTGTAGTCGACAGACCCATCTACAGTTTCTTCTGAAAGTAGAGTTTCTGTGGCCATGAGTGGATCAGAGCGAAAGATTATGAGACTTTTTAGAGATTCATTGGAGTGGTTGTTTCTGTTATTGGGTTAGCGTTTGGGAAATGGTGTTTCTTTAAAAAGAATATTGTATTGAAGTCACCACGTTTAGGAATCAACATATTCTAAGATAAAGAAGACTACATTTATTTTCCTGAAGGAAGTGATTTTGGACCTCCATTAATGAAAATATGTGATTTGTTTGACCTTAATAAAAATGATTAGAAATGACATAACAATTTCTAAATACACTTATATTCTAGTTTATATTTTCAACTTTTAATTCTTACATAAACCCAAACTTTATATTTTCTACATCATTGAAACAATTTATTTATTTATTTTTCCCAAATATCTCTTTGTTTGATGAAAATATATTATTAAAGTTATAGAGAAAGTAATCAAACAACAGTATGAATTTGAATTTCAATCTAAAGAAGAAAAAGGTAAAGAGAAGTGGTATTAACAAAAATCTTAAATTAAGTTTGAAATTGGGGAAAATAGGTGCAAACAAGATATCAAATTAAGTAGGACTATTTTTGGTATTAAATGAAATTTAAAGAGAAACTTTTAACAGTAATAGAGGTGTATGAGAATACTTCTAAATTTGATGGGGCTAAAAGTCACTTCATTCTTCCTAAACTTATCATACTTAATCACTTTTTATAATGCTTCATTTATTGAGAGTTACGATTTTAGCCAAGGGTAGTCATTTTCAGCCCTCACTTTGACAAATTTAACCTTAAGTAAAATTACTATAAAGGATATTACAAATTCTAAGTACACCCCTACTTTATTTTACATTTTCCTTCCATTTATTTTTTATAACATTTAAAACTCATAGTTTATCATTTTAAATTACTTTTCACTTCTCTATCTTATTTATATTTTTTGGTTAAATCCAGATATGATTTTTCATATCTTCATCTTTTTCCTTTTTTTACAATTATCTACTTTAAGTATGTTAGTTCTTCTTAAACTTAAAGTTATAAACTCACTGTGGAGTTCCTTGGAATTCTTCTAGGAATACATATCTTTGTACTCAATAGTTGCCGGTTGATGGAAGAAGTAAAGAAAATATATTTTAGTAATAAAAATATTGAGTTTAGTAGACTTAAAAGGGTAAAAAATTTAAGTCTAAGAGGGTAGTTTTGGTATTAAGTCTAAAAGGACAATTTTGGTATTAAGCGGGGTTCAAAAAGAGATTTTAAAATATAAATATAGTGTACTTAATCATGGGGGTTACTACTTACTAGTCGATTATACGAGGGCTAAGATGACTTCCCATCTATAAGAGTTCTAGTCACAACCATAGCAGGATTTTGTCAAGCAATTGGGCTAATAAAATGAGCTTGGGCCCAATCGCAAGGCAAATATCTAAATAGTGAAGCTTAAACATCCTGCTAATAGACTGAAGGAGTTTCCATTTTTTAAGACACCCCATTTTCAAGTTTTAAATTTGAATTTTTTCTTATGGCACCCCATAAATTCCTTAAAAGCCCTTCATTCCCTATTTTTTTTTTTTTTAATATTTTAAAAGAGTTAAATTTTATTCCTTGCATTTATGGAATAAACTCCACCATCGTTATTCCTAAAATAAAATTTTAGATATTTAAATTGAAAATTCAAAAGAAATTAAAGCTAAAAAAAAATTATGTGAACTAATTAAAAACTTACAATTTTATATTTCTTGTAACCTGTTTTGTCCCATTGTAAATCTTTTTCCTTTATTAAAACTTTTTTTTGTTTTGAGAATGATTTGAATAACACAAAAGAAATTAGGGGTTTATGAGATAATAGTGGGGTGTCAAAAGCATTTGAAAGATTAGGAAATTAAAGTTAATATTAATATTTTAATTTAGGGATGAATTTGTCATTATATTATTCATTAAAAAGTGGAGCTTCTTTAGTTCATGAATGGAGTGTCAATAGATCCACTGACGTGTAAATTGTACTTTCTATTCTTTTAATCAAGGCAATTGATGTCAATAGATCCACCTTGTTTAATTTGTATGGGATAATTCCTAGAAGGTGGATATTCCTTGTAATTTGAAGGTAACGGTTGCACGATTTATGATATCGATAGAAAACAACAATGTTCAAGGAAATGAGCTTCTAATTTTCCGAGAGAAAGACTTTATCCACCTTGAAGTTTCTGTCAACTATGGTTTATGTTCTCTGTTTTAAAATACTAGGATTTACCCTCTTTAATTTAACAAACGTTCATATAATCAATTTAGTTGGAATAATTTTTCTGTTTAAAGACTAGAATACTCTTCATTTTGATATTTTCCCAGTTTAAAAAGTCTAAGCTCCGTTTGGTTCACTATTCTGGTGCTTTTTAGAATAATATTTTGAAAAAAGTAAAGTTGAGTTATAAAATAGTATTTTGAGAAAGATAATTGTTAATGTTTTGAGTTGAATAAAGTAGGATTGGATATTAAGAATATTGAAACAAATGCATTTTTGGATTTTTAGAATAGGATAGCAGAAAAATAGCGAAACAAATGCAACCCTAGATTCTGCATCGAATTTTTTATTTCTTCTTAACAGCCATTACAATTAGGAGAGTATATCCTAGTATTTTAAACTGTAAGGCTTGGACTAATGAACCCGAAACCTAGGGGTAAATGTAATTAACTCTCTAATCTATAGCTTTGTGGTTTCTAATCTTTTTATTTTTAAGTGTTTTTGTCTGGCTTTTGAATAGCTCTCTGTGCACCGCACATGGCTCCACCTTTGTTTCGTTAGTTTATTCCTAAGGGGTATTTGGATCATATAATATTTTATTGTAAAGGGATATTATATTAACGGAATAAAAGATTATCTTGAAGATTACTGGGAATGTTTAGAAAATGTGTTTGGTTGGTTCGAATAAATTGGTGAATAATATGTTTGGTTGGGAGGATAAATGGGTGGATATGTGTTAGGGCCAAAAATCGTCCTGAGCCTGATGAGGTCCAATAACGAAATGAACATGTCATGGCCCAAGGCCTTAAAATTATCATCTTAAAATATAATTGGTGGTTACCATAATTTATATGTTAACAACCATTTTTCTAATTTTCTTATATTTCTTTTTTGAAAATTATCATCTTAAAATATAAGGTAATTTGTGTTTGTAAATATTATTTATAAAATTGTTGAGCTTTTTAAAATTTATAATTGTATATTTGGTTAATTATATTTTTAAATTATTTATTGTATATATAATATAGACAAAAAATCACGCAAGGGGAACTAGCTAAGGGTAAAACTTAACTCAATCGCTACTTTTTCTCTTACTTTTTGTTGTTTTTATTGATCTAGTATCCAAATTAAGCATAGAAGGGATCACACTGCCATAATCCACTAGCGCTAATCTTGTGTAAGTCAAGGATCGTGCGGGCAAAACGTACCGACTCCCTTTGACATTAAAGAATGTTGTGTAAGTAATTCGTAATTGTAGGGTCATCAGGAGTGTTTAGTTTGAGCAAATCTTCTATCCTACAAATTTCTCATGAATGTCAGTTTCTTACACAACCTATAGTATTTGATGGAATATTATATCATCACTTGATAACAAAAACATCACTTCGTTTATGCCCGTAGCATAATCTCTTTTAAAAGGAAAAAAAAAAAAATTAATCTTAAAAATTAAAATAAAGAAACCAGTTTGAATCATAAATACCTAGGGACATTTTATTAAAAGACCAAATCAAGTTCAAATTTAATTAAAAGGCCATGTACATATAAAGTGTTAAGTAAATAGCCTTATCATTGATTAAGGTTAATTAAACATGATTAGTAGTTAATTAAGATTAATGAAGTATTGTGTAATTTTAAAAAAATTATAATATGTCCCCCAAAAGCCGAAATTCTTGTAAACAAACCCAAACAACTTTTTCTTCTTCCTCCAGCCATTAACGCACCTCCCCTGCTTGTTTCTTCTAAGCTTTGTCTACATCTTCTTCTTCCTCCGCCATTAACATTTTCTTGTTCCTCCGCCATTAACATCTTCTTCGCCAAAGATCCCCCCCCTCCTCCTCCTCTTCCTAACATTTCGTCCAGGTATGTATATCTTCTCTTTGCATTTTAAATTTTGATTTGCAAAGATTTAATGATGGATTGAGTTTGGGTTATGATTTTGATTTAGTTGTTTAGGTTGTTGGGTTGTGTTTGATGTAATGCAAGTTCAAAGGAGTGAAATTTGTTGAATATTTTCTTGCATTGTCGGTAGCTGGGGGTGGTCGCACCGATTGTAGGTGGAGATGACTGAAAATGTGTTCTGTATTTGATGGATCGCTTAAGCAATCTTATGTATCGCTTAAGCAATCTTGTATGTCTGGTTTAATGCACCAGATGGCAAATCGCTTAAGCGATCATGTTTATGGCAGGAGATCACTTAAGCGATTAGGTTTATGGCAAAAGATCGCTTAAGCGATCTGCTATAAGTCTGATATATGTTATCAGATCGTTTAAGCGATCATGTATATGACATAAGATCGCTTAAGCGATCAGACTTATTTATACTAAATCGCTTAAGCGGTATACTTGATTGCTTAAGCGATCCAGTAGGCAATATATCAGATCGCTTAAGTGATACACCAGATCACTTAAGCGATACTCTAGAGATGCTTTTTAAAATCTGTCAACCCTTAATATATTGGTTAATAATTTTTTCTTTCTTGCATTATAGGTACTTGGTTATTATTAGACATGGGATAAGTGGTTTTGAATGTTGAATATTTTGGTGAGTGGGTGGATGAAGAAAGTTGCTGGAAGTGGATTGGGAAGAGCAAACAAACTAAAGCAATTGCCGTGAGTACATAAGTTAGTTTTGATGAGTTGATTGATAAATCATTGGAAGAGGTGGGTTGAGTTGCTCATGTAGTGATATAGTTGTGAAATATGTTTTAAGTAGAGCTCCTACAAATTTTAAGGTATCCCCTCTTGTATTAATATCTGATGAAGATGTGAAATTATTTATGCTTGATGTGGGCGATAATGTTTCGAGGTTGATTTTAACAGTTTTGGTTGTGGATAAAGCTTTGGAAG